TAGGTTTTTCCAGAGTGTGTGTACTCACCAGAGACAGAGAGAGGGAAAGTGAGAAATCACCCTAGGGGGTTGGCCATGTTATAATCCCTTCTCCTCTATTCTTGTCCTGAGATTTTGGGCATTTTTGCAAGCACGTGCACCAGCGTGATTTTCAAGCCACCAGGTCTAGGACTTGAGCCATAGTCAATCATGTGGGAATCTAGCACCTTAACCACCATGCCACCTGCTGGCCCCATGAATATCCCAGTTTTTAAAGAATTGTTTGCTGCTGTTACTGTTACTAGCACCCAGAATTCTTAGTATAAGGGGCACAGTGAATTATCCATACCTTAAGTAATGCATCATTAATACAAAAGTCAGAGTTGTAATTAATACTGATAGAGTGTCCCAGCTCAGAAAACTGCTAGTGGCTGCCTCTAATACCTACACATATATTAAGAGATATGCGATACTTAAATAGTTCTACCTGTTGCACAAGTTCAATGTTAAGGCGTTTGCCATGTCGTTTGATCTGACTGTCCTTTCGTCCCAAGAAAAATATCTCTCCATCTTTCACGGTCACAAAGTCTCCAGTGGCCCGCATTGTGCCAAGTGGTACTGTCATTTCATCATCAAGAAAGCACACTCTGTTTCTCCCACCTTCCCAAGATATAAACACGAATGTCACAAAAGTCCATGGAAAATATATTAAAACACATCAAGTCAAGAATATCTCCAAAAGCTCAGTTTAGCTTACAATTTAAAAACTTTTACTAAATGGAGGGCTTGCTTTTAAGTGTTATCCATTAAAATTGGACATCATAACCTCAGTTAATAAGCGGAGGAATACATTTTTTAAAAATATTTTTGCCATAGAGTGTGTGCACTCACTGAAGAGAGAGAGAGAGACAGTGAGAGGAAAAGTGAGAAATCACCCCCCAGGAGGGATGGCCACACCACAGTCCCCTCTCCTCCATTGTCTTCCTGGGGTTTTGGGCATGCATGCACACATGACCAGTGTGATACTTCAAGCCACCAGGTCGGGGACTCAAACCATGGTTAGCCATGTAGGAGTCCGGCACCCTAACTACCATGTAACCTCCTGATCCAAAGAAAATAAACTTTATTTCTAAAACTATATACGCAACTTTTAAAAATGCTTAGAGTCTAATTAAATATGATTTTGGCTGTAAATATAAAGGACCAAGTTATAGTTTCTAAACTACTTTTATCAGTACATTAGACATTGTTATTGAAAACAATTCTAGTAACTTCTTAAATGTTTTATTGCTGTGAGAATGAGACTAAAAATGATCACCACCCAAAAACATACGAAACAGAAGAAAAATCAGAAAAAAAATAAAATTAACATATTTCTTGAAAAACATTATTCCCTATCGGCAAATATAAAACAACCTAAAAATACTTGTCCGTTGCCTTCTTCAACTGTGAAACCATTGGTGTCTCTGATTTCAATGACTGTTCCTAGCAGTGGAAATCCCAGTTGTACAGGTAGTTCACATCTATGAAAAGACAACACAATGCAGAGTTAAAATTTTTCACGTGAAGAGAATATTTCCCAATGAACTTAAATCACACTATACCAAATAAAGGGGGAAAAGTGTGTTTTGCTATAAATTCAAAGACTGCCAAGAGAAGAAGTTAGAAGGAAGGCTATCGTGAATGTTCTTCATGATTGCTTAGTCATAAAAAGCTCCAGCAGGATCTCGGCACCAGCTGTGGGCTTACGGATTCCCGGGACCAGCGAATGGCATAATGGTTTCATCGCTGGACTCCCACATAGTCAACTGTGATTCAAGTCCCAGATCCGGCAACTTAAAATTCACGCTGAGTGTGTGTACATGCGTGCCCAAGATCCCGAGAAAAGAATGTAGAAGGTGTGAATGCAGCATGGCCATCCCCCTTGGATGGTGATTTCTTGCTTTTTCTTTCTCTGTCTCTCTGGCGAATGCACAGGCTCTATCGCAAAACATCTCTCTTTCAAAAAAAAAAAAAAAAATCTGGATTCCCAACTTAAAACACTAGATAAAATAGTGTTTCTGAAATTACTGCCCTAGTGTCTGCCAAAAATACTGTTAGTGTTAAGATTCTGGAAAAACACAGTCTCTCTTCTAACATAGTATAATTAAAACCCTTACTCTGCAGTGGAGTTAAGAATCTTCTCTGGAATTCTGTAGAAGGTTGCCCAGCTTGACACCTCCGTGATCCCGTAAAGATTAAATATTTGTGTTCTATTGCCTTCTGCTCTCCAGCTTTTGAGAACAGTCAGTGATGGAAATGCCTCACCCCCAAGGGCCAGTACTCGGAGGGAAGTACTGGCTGATAAAACCGTGGACTTGAGAAGCTGGGATCCAAACCTTCTCAACAATGTTGGTGTTGCCTGCAGAGATATTAGAAATAATTGCTTTATCCTCACTTCTTTAAAAAGGTCAACACTATAATGATTTATTCAAAGCTTGATATTCGGAGCCCTCATGGAAATTAAGGCTGTGTTTATCATGGCAAATCGTATTTGAAAAACCACAGAGGCAGCATTATCTTTTCAATTAAATTATTGATTAGACTTTAAATAAACAAACAACTCTATCAGCGATAGGTCAGCAGTAGTAACACAATGCCCCATGATGCCAGGGCCGGGTGCAAAGGCCCCAGGTTTGTGTCCTGAGGTCTCTGTATACACTGGGTCTCTCCTGTGTGCCCAGGATCCTGGCTGGCAGAGACTGGGCAGATCACACTGCTGGGAGTACCTGTCTGTCTGTCTCTCAAAAGAAATAAATAAACTTTTTAAAAGTCCAGTTATGGGGGCTGGAAGGTGGCATGATGGTTAGGGTAATGGACTCCCACATGGTCAACTGCAGTTCAAGTCCTGAACCTGATGACTTACTTTCTCACTTTCTCTCTCTCTCTCTCTCTCTCTATCTGTCTTTCTCTGTCTCCCTCTGGTGAGCATGCGTGCCCTATAGCAAATTAAATAATAATAAATAACAATAAATAAATAATTCTTTTAAAAATCAAATTTTGTCTTTGGAGGAAAAAAGTTAGACATTCTCTTGAGTTTCATTAAACTAGATAAAAACCTGATAATGTCATTAGTTTATCAAAATAGACAATAGAAACTAATAATTAAGATGCTATGGGTGTGTTTCTCAATGTGTTTCTACTTAAAATCCCTTTATTAGAATCCTAACCCCCAAGGTGACGGTAGCAGGAGGTGAGGCCTTTGGGGGGTGGTTAGCTCTCTCAGGTGGAGGCCTCATAGATGAGATTCGCATCCTACAGCAGAGATCTGTAAGACACCTCTGCACGTTCTGCCCTGTAAGGACCGTGAAGACGGTGGGCTAGGAGTCAGTAAGCGGTCCTCACCAGACATCTGACCTTGGGCTTCCCAGCCTTCAGCACTGTGAGGAATAAGTCTGTTGTCTTTAAGCTACCAGTGTACTATATGTTATTATACCAGCTCGAACTAAGATACATACATACCAAGAATCATGCTACACTTTTTCATTTAATTCTTTTTTTTTAAGATGATCATGAATTTTTTTTAGAGGTTTTTGCTATAGTGCGCATGCGCTTGCCAGAAAGACAGAGAGACAGAAAGCGAGAAATCACCCCCTAGGGGGGAATGGCCACGCCGCAATCCCTTCTCCTCCATTCTCCTCTACTCTTGGGATCTTGGGCACGCATACACATGTGCCCAGTGTGAGTTTAAGCCACTGGGTCCAGGACTCGAACTGTGTCAGCTACATGGGAGTTCAGCGACTCAGCCATTACGCTAACTGCTGGTCCCAATCATGAATTTTTTAAAAATTATTTTTATCCAACTTTATTTCTTTTAATTTGATCAGAGAGGGAGAGTGAGAGTGAGAGCTAGAGCGAGAGCGAGAAAGAGAGAGAAAGTGAGAAAGCAAGCCACCAGGTCCAGGACTTAAACCGTGGTCAGACATGTAGGAGTCCAGCACTCTTAACTACCACTCCACCTGCCAGTCCTTTCATTTAATTTTTTTAACTGTTGGGTTTTCTGAAGTCATGTGTTTTTTACATGTAAAAATACATCATGGCTGTTCCAACAACCCGATATATGAAATAGATATTATTTCCATTCACAGATAAAACCTGACGCGCATAGCAGTTAACACTAAGACATCTGCATATCATGATCTGCAAATAAAAAGGTTCACAATCCCTTCTCCTCTATTCTCCTTGGGATTTTGGGCATGCACACACATGTACCAGGCATGCTTTTAAAGCTGCCAGGTCTGGGACTCAAACCATGGAGTCAGCCATGTGGGACCCAGCTCTTTAGCCTCCATACCACCTGCTGCCCTAAAATCTAATATCTTAAGGCTGGTATACCACACACTTTCTGTTGTTGTAGGGCACGTGCACTCACATGCAGGAGACAGAAAGAAGGGGAGTGTGAGAAATCACTACATGGCCATGCTGCAATCACTTTTCCTCCATTCTCCTCTCAGGAGACAAAGCTTAGGGACCAGAAGGTGGCATGGTGGTTAAGGTGCTGGCCCCTATATGACTGACTCCATGGTTTGAGTCTCAGGCCCAGCAGCTTGGGAAACAAACCAGAGGTGCGTGTATGTGTGTGTCCAAAATCACAAGAGGAGAGTGGAAGAGGAAGGACTATGATATGGAGGGATGATTTCTCACTTTCCCTCTCTTTGTCTCTCTATCTCCAAAAATAAACACTCAATGGTTAAAAACAAACAAACAAAATCTAAACAAAAAAACAAAACTCAAACTTCAGAAATATTTGATTCTATAGGTTAATGTAAAATATACTGATGCAAAAATCAGAAAATCTAAATTCCTAATTCAGTTATAACTTAACTTGCTTGAATATAAGTTTTGCTTAATTAAAACTTCGGTTAGTTTTCAGTGGGAAGAAGTACACTTAAATTTTAAGATAGAAGAAGCAGTATATCCCATCAGATTTTAGTCAAGGCCAGTTCCCCTACTGATTATAATATGCACAAAATACATTTCCAAGACAAAACAAGAATTTGCTAAGCACAGTTGACTTTTTAACTTTTTACATAAACAAAACAGTAACATTAGGAGATAGCTCTTTATAATCTAGCTATAACATATCATAAAGAACATTTAGAACACATGGGGCCTGCAGGTGGCATGGTGGTTAAGGGGGCTGGACTTCCACATGGCCAACTGCGGTTCAAGCCCCGGACCTTGTGGCTTGCTTTCTCACTTTCCCTATCTCTCTCTATCTCTCTCTCACTCTGTCCCTCTCTGGTCAAGTTAAAATAAATAAATAGAGTTAAATGAAATAGTTCTTTTTAAAAATTTTTAAAAAGAGCTACTAGAATACAAAACTCTCTCTAAAACACTTAAAACATTAAGTAAGGAAAGACCAAACATTTCACCTATCTGTAAAAGGTACCTGCAAAACAGTCACTCTGTGATGGGAAAAGAGAACGGCAGCTAATTCCGATGGGCGCACTTTGACAGCAGCAGGTACAATGAGCAGAGAGGCCCCGCTTGACAGGGCAACAAAGATTTCCACGACAGAAGGGTCAAAGGTCAGGGGTGAAGCCAGAAACAAAACATCTTCCTGTGTGATGTCAAAAAGCACCCTAGAGCAAAACAGTGTAATTATGAGAAATGTGTAATATTTAGTAAACTCAGATTCTATGAAAGCACTTATGATGACCTGTTTTGAATGTTGCCAATATTCAGTTCTTAGATTAGCCACAATGGTGCTTTTTTTTTGGAGAGGTGTTTTTTTTTGTTTTTTTTGTTTGTTTGTTTGTTTTTGCTATAGGGCACATACGCTCGCCAGACAGAGAGAGAGAGACAGAGAGACAGAAAGCGAGAAATTACCCCCCAGGGTGGAGGCCATGCCACAATCCCTTCTCCTCCATTCTCTTCTCAGGATCTTGGGCACGCACACACACGCGCCTGGCTTGAGTTTAAGCCACCGGGTCCGTGACACGAACCACGGTCAACTACATGGGAGTTCAGCGACATAGCCATACGCTAACTGCTGGTCCCCCAGTCCCCCAAAATGGTGCTTTTAACTCTAGAAATCTTTATAAAAGAAAGGATCTTTTGGGCCACCCAGTGGTGTGTTGGTTAAGGCAGCTGGATCCCACACAGCCCACTGCACGTTCGATTATGAACCCAGTACTTGTAAAGCACACGGAGCACGTGTGCATGCATGCCCAAAGTCCGAGGAGGAGAAGGGAGAAGGAACTGGCATGTGGCTATTCCCATGGGGGGTGATCTCTCTCTCTCTCTCTCTCTCTCTCTCTAGCAAGTATCCACCCCTGTAGCAAAAGTGAATAATAAATGAATGAATGAATTTTTTTTTTAAATGTAATTTTCTACTCAAGTAGAGTCCATATTAGATTGTACTGGGTTGTCAGAAAAGTTATGACGTACTTTTCTATGTAAAAATATGTCATGATTTTTCCAACGACCCAATACTTACTCAGTAAGTGAGGGTTATGGTACTCAATTCCACAGGGCTGACTTTGCAGTTCAAGTCCCTTGAAAATCAGCCAGCACATGTGCCTGTGTGCCTAAAATCCCAAGAGGATAATGGAGGAGAAGGGACTGTGGCATGATCACCCTCCCAAGGGGATGCTTTCTCACTTGCCCTCTCTGTCTTTCTCTGGCGAGCGCAAATACCCTATAACAAAACTAAAACTAATACTAACAATGCTTCATAGAGACTTTGACTCCCATTTCTCAGTATTGGGCATTTTCTCTCATTATCTGAACAAAGAACAGAGTAAGAACATATGAGAATTTTTTTGAGAGAGAGATTTTTGCTATAGGGTGCACATGCTTGCTGGAGACAGAGAGACAGAAAGTGAAAGTTCATTCCCCGGGAGGATGGCCATGCCTGCATCCTGTCTCCTCCACTCTCCTCTCAGGATCTTGGGTATGTACGCACACAAGCCTGGCATGAGCTTAAACCGCCGGGTCCGGGACTCAAGCCGCGGTCGACTACATGGGAGTCCAGCGACATAGTCATAACGCTAACTGCTGGTCCCTGAAGGAGTCATTTCTAAAATGACAACTCCTAGCCCAGACTTCCAAAGGTAGATCTGTGTATTCAATTTCCTATATACACAAGCATTATCACTTTTTTTTTTTAATTTTCCAGAAGTCACATGTGCTTGTCAGAGGGACAGAAGAACGAGAGAGGGAGGAAGCACCCCACAGAGGGGTATGTTCATGCTGCAACACCTCCTCTGCCATTTCTCCATCCTGCGGACACACACACACACACTGGGCATGGTTTTCAACTGCTAGGGCAGGGATTTAAAGTGTGGTTGGCCATATAGGAGCTGGCTCCCTTAACCACTAGGCTACGGGGCTGGCCCCCTAAAATTGCTTAAATTATGCTTTCCACTTAAAATAAAAGTTTAAGAAAGATTCAGTGAATGAAACTTACCGAAAATGCTGAATGTTTGGTAGGATACATGCATGAGGCACTCTGACGACTTTCGGTGTCCCTGTGGTCCCCGACGTATGCAGAACGTAGGCTAGGCAATGCTTCAGCCTCAGGTCCATGAGTCCTGCCTGTTCTTCGTTGCAGTTCTCAGAACTCATGCCACTTTCTCTTTTTTCTTTTTCGTATTTCTCCTTTCCATCCCTTAGCATCAGGTCCACCTCACCATTTTCCCAGTGGAGTCTGAAGAGTACCAGGTCCCTGTGCTCTACTGTATGTGTATCATAGCTCAAGGATGTTTCATGGGAAGATCTGAATTTCTATGTTAAGATGAGGGACAAAGTTTATATACTTCTTAAAGAATTATCTATTTAAATTTTATTTCTTCATTCATTTTATTTTAATTTGACCAGAGAGAGACACAGAGAGCGAAAGAGAGAGGGAAAGCAAGAAAGCAAGCCACCAGGTCCAGGACTCAAAACTGTGGTGTGGCATGTGGGAGTGTCCAGTGCCTTAACCACCATGCTGTGGTCCCCAAAGTTTATAATATTAATAACTTAGAAGACATTCTTTGATATAGTAGTAATATAATTTTTCACTTACTCATTCAACATAATTTTTTTTTTTTTAGGTTTTTGCCATACTGCATGTACACTCTTCCAGAAAAACAAAGAAAAACAGTGAGAGGGAAAGTGAGAAATCACCCCCAAGGGGGAATGGCCACGCTATAATCCCTTCTCCCTCCTCCATTCTCCCGGGATTTTTAGGATACACACACACATAGGGTATTTCCAG